ATTCAATTTTCATGTAAATTAAAACTACACTAGACTTTCGTGAAAATATTTAAGATAAAAAGTATTTTCATCATTTCACAAAGTGGTTTATTGAATTTCTTTATTCATTCTTTAGAAATATGGTTAGAATTAACCGTAGGTAAGTACTCTAGTTGATGAAAGATGATGAATAGCAACGATTTCAATTCACTGTTAATAAACTTTAAACTAACAAATTACTTTTCACATGCACTTGATATCGTTGTTGAATAGGAATGAAAATGAAATGTGTTGTTTGCTTGAGGAAACTATTTGATGAATTTTTGAATTTGAGATTTATTAAAATTTTAAGCTAGAAAAAAACAAACTTTTGGTTTTCATTTTTGACTTCCGATTTGTATAAATGTTCTGATATTAGAAATAAATTCATTGGTAATAAAAAGATTTACACAAGAACTATACAACTATTATTTCCTAAATGTTTTACATGGCATCAAACAACAAAATGAAATGTTCGTTAATGTAAGTCAAAATTTTCGAAATTCTCAAATTTTGTAAAAGTTGATGTAAATTTCTAATAAAGTTTAGTGGAAATTTGAGGAAAGTCAGCATGCTATATGTTTCGTGTTTGTGTATATCTGCGAGATTATCTTCGATTCTATTATTCGCCAACCAAAGACAGATAGGGTGCTAGAAAAAGTTTTCTCGAGAGACTAATCTCCGTTGATGTTTTCTCCAAAACATAGTTTCATCATCCATGCATACATATATATATATATATGTATATATACATATATACATACCACAATCCCACTAGTTATATCCATGAACTTGCTTCAAAACTTGCAATACGCTAATATTTGAAATTCCAGCAATTTATTTCAAAATATCCTTATTTTTTTAAAAATTATTGAAAAAAAAGAAATTTGAAGGTGAATTTGAAGTTAGAAATTTGTTGGAATAGTATCATTGGATAAATTTATGAAAAAAAATTGGTCGAAATTTCAAATAAACAGAGAAATTATTCAAAAATTCATAATTTTTTTTCATCAGATATATATCGATTTTGATCATTCAATTCAAAAACATTTCTCTTGATGATATCATTCATTACTGCACTTCATTCATGTATAAATGCTTCAGCAGGAAAAAAAAAGAATGACAACCACAAAGAAATGAATAAAATAAGCTTTTTTTTTATTTACATTAAAATTTTCAGCTTATTTTATTGTCAAAAAAAAAGGAAGTTTTCTAATATCAGCTAATTATACGATCGTAGGGGAGAAAAAAAAAGTTACAAGAAACAAAATACTCAAATGATAAAATTTGAGTCAAAAAAGACAAAAAGGGAAAAAAAGCAGGGGAGAATTTATGTTTGCAGAACAAGGCTATCAAATTGATAGCTGAATAATTGTTGTGCAAGAAAGAGGAAAGACGGAAATATGTTATTGGAGCGGATTCATAAATTATCACATTTACTATTCCAAGCTTGGGAGAATTCTTCGAACGCTTCAAATTATTCATCTCATGAAAATCACTGCTTTTCATCACCCAATCCAATCCTCCTAAGTAGATTTCAGGAATTTCCTTCCTTTTCGCTTTTTAATCAAATTTTTATTTTTATTTTTATTTTTTACATTACAAATTCCGCTTCTTTTTTATTTCG